AAAGCCCTTGATGAAGACGATGTTGCCTACTTCACATGTAAGTATAAAAATTTCATCAAAAGGAGCAAACAATTTAGGAAACATTTCACCAACCAAAAAGGTGAAAAGAGCAAACATGATGAGATAATATGTTATGAATGTAAAAAGTCGGGTCATATAAGACCGGATTGTCCTCTCCTCAAATTATCTAGGAAATCCAGGAAGAAAGCAATGAAGGCTACTTGGGATGATAGTGATGAAAGTGAAGGCTACTTGGGATGATAGTGATAAAAGTGCAAGGGATGAAGAAGTAGCAAATTTTTGCTTCATGGCTCATAGTGACAAAGAGGATGAAGAAGATGAGGTAATTCTTGAATCTCCTTTTTACGATGAATTATTTAAAGTTTTTGAAGAGATGCAACTTGATTTAGAAAAATTTAGTAGGCTGTGGTTCAAAAGAAATATAAGGCTTCAATACTTAAAAATAAATCTTTATTAAATGAAATTTCTTACTTAAAAGAGAATAGTTGAAATTTCTTACTTAAAAAGAGAATAGTCATAATGTTGTAAAATTTGATATACATTGTGAAAAACATGTATTTGATTGTGATGAGAAAACTGTATTAATTGATAAAATTAAATTTTTTGAGCACGATTGTTGTGAAAAAGATAAGTGAATTAAATTAATCAAAAGAAAATGAATTAAATACTATACAAGAGCTTGGTAAGGTTAAAAAGTCTATTAAAAAGTTAACTATAAGGGGTCAAAAATTCGATAAAATAATTGAAGCAGGTAAGCCTTGTGTGATATAAGAGGATTAGGCTATATGGTGAATGTTCTACTCCATCAAGTTCTAAAACAATACTTGTTAAAGCATCCCCATTATGTCTAAGCCTAACACATGCAAATTTATATCTCCTTATGATAAATCTAGATTTGTGTCTATATGTCATTCGTATGAAGGTCATATTAGACATAATGGCTTCAAATTGAAAAATTCTCAAAACATTCCTTCCGGAATAAAATTTTCTAAAATATAAAATTTAACAATGTTTTAAGAAATAATTTTTCTATTGAAAATAGAATACCTAAACTTAGTCCAAGAAATAAATTTTTGCATGATGTTGTTTGTTTCTCATGTGATAAGTTTTTTTAATATGAATGCAAACATGATTCCTAAATTTGTGGAGACTAACTTGTTAGGACCCAAACAAGTATGGGAACTGAGAGGTCAATTTTGAATATCTTTGTTTTTAGGTTTATTTGGAAGTCTCCAAGAAAAATAAGTTGTATTTGAATAATGGTTGCTCAAGATAAATGATGGGAAACCAATCCAAGTTTGTGAGTCTTTCCAAGAAGGATGGTGACTAGTAATTTTTGACGACAACAAGAAGGGTAAAATAATTGGTAAGTGTACTATAGTAATGACTTTTTTACTCTCATTGAAGATGTATTTTTAGTTGATGCTTTAAAGTATGACTTACTTAGCCTTAGTCAATTATGTGACAAAGGTTTTAAAGTTATATTCGATAAAAATAATTGCATAATTGAATATGTTAGTGATAGAAAAGTATGGTTTGTTGAAATAGAGATGATAATGTGTACATTATTAATTTCAATGATTATCCTACAAATGATAAATGTCTTTCGACTTTGCATGATAATTCTTGTTTATGGTATAGAAGATTAGGACACGTTAGTATGCACTTAATTTCAAATATCTTAAAAAATTCATTATTAATTAGAGGTCTTCCTAAATTTAAATTTGAAAATGATAAAATCTGCTTTTCAAGTGGGTAAGCAAATAAGTTGTCTTTCAAATCTAAAAATTTGATTTCTACTATTAGACCTCTTCAACTGGACTTCTTGGGCCTTTAGAGGGAATTTCTATGTGTGTGATAGTTGATGATTTTTCCAATTTTACTTGGTTTTGATCATAAAACATAAAAATGATGTTTTGAAAAGATTTGTTAGTTTTGTAAAAAGAGTTCAAAATGAAAAAGGTTTTTTTATTTTGAGATGATTTGCTAGTTTTGTAAGAAGAGTTCAAAATGACAAAGATTTTTTAATTACTAAAATTAGGAGTGACCATGCACGAGAATTCCATAGTGTTGCATTTAAAATTTTTTATGACGATAATGATTTTTATCATGACTTCTCTTCTCTAAGGACTCCTCAACAAAACGGTTGGTTGAAAGAAAAAATCGTAGCTTACAAGAGTTTGCTAGATCAATGTTAAATGAATATGATTTACCTAAATATTTTTGGGCGGAAGCTGTTAATACCGTCTGTTATGTATCAAATAAAATTTTAAATAGACCCTCTTTAGATAAAACTCTTTTTGAACTTTGGCATAATAAAATTCTAAATATTGGGTATTTTAAAGTTTTTGGTTGCAAATGTTTTATGTGGAACAACTAAGAAAAGCTGAAAAATTTTGATTCTAAGACGGATATTGGTATTTTTCTTGGTTATTCATCTACCCGTAAAGCTTATAGAGTTTTCAATAAGAGAACTTTAGTTATGGAAGATTAGTTATTGAAGAATCTATGCATGTTGTATTTGATGAATCTTGTAATAATTTTTATAATGAGTCTATCTGTAGGGATGATTTAGAAAGAAATTTTGGAGATTTATTTGTCAGAACAAAGAAAAGAATCTGTTTCAAGTAAAGAAGAAGTGGGTTTAAATGAAAAGAAGGAAGAAGGTTCTTCATCAGTGCCAAAAGAATGGAGGTATGCCTCGTCTCATCCCAATGACTTGATTATTAGTGATCCCGAACAAGGTGTGAAAACTCATTCCTCTATTAATTTATTTAATAATCTTGCTTTTGTTTCTCAAATTGAACCAAAAAGTCTTAAGGATGCCGAAAATGATGAGTTTTGGATTTTATCTATGCAAGAAGAACTAAATCGTTTGAGAATTAGTCCCTAGGCTCTCTAATATTTCCATTATTGGAGCCAAATGAGATTTTAGAAATAGGAATATCATTAGAAATAAAGCTAGAGTTGTAGCTCAGGATTATTGACAGGAGGAAGGTATAGACTATAAAGAAACTTTTATACTCGTTGTTAGATTAGAACCTATTAGAATGTTACTTGCATTTACTTCTTACAAAATTTTTATATTGTATCAAATGGATGTGAAAAGTGCATTCTCAAATGCTTATATTACGGAGGAAATTTATGTAAAACAACTTCCTCGATTTGAAAATTTTGATTTTCCACATCATGTCTATAAGTTGAAAAAGGCTCTTTGTGGCTTAAATTTTCCACGTCATGTCTATAAGTTGAAAAAGGCTTTTTGTGGCTTAAAACAAGCTCCAAGAGCCTGGTACAATAGACTTAGTAATTTTTTTTTATTGAGAATGATTTCAAAATGGGTAAGCTCGATCCTACTCTCTTTATTAAAATTAAAGAAAAAGATATGCTAGTGCAAATATATGTAGATGATATTGTATTTGATTCTACCAATCCTTCTTTATGTGAAGAATTTTCTAAATGTCTACATAATGAGTTTGAGATGAGTATGATGGGAAAGATCAGTTTCTTTCTTGGACTTCAGATCAAACAACTGAAAGATGGTATCTTCATAAATCAAGAGAAATACACCAAGGATTTACTCAAAAGGTTCAAGTTCAATGAAGGTAAGATTGCAAAAACTCCAATGAACACATCTACTAAGCTTGACAATGATAAAAAAGGTAAATGTGCAGATATAAATTCTTATCTAGGTATGATTGGATCCTTACTTTACTTGACTGCTAGTAGACCTGTGTAACGCCCGCTCATCGTCAACGCGATTAACAGGAGTTACCATTCTCAACGACAACATACTCTAACACCCAACCATAATCTCAAAATATTTAAAAAAAACATCCAGTAAAACATTTAAAACCAGTGCTATTTAAACTTAAAACAACCGAAGTAAATTCTTGACAGCGAAAACATAAATATACAAAACAGACACAGACATGGATTCCCAGTAGTCTTCAGTCCGCTGGTCTCGTCCTCGGTTGGCCTGCATCATCTAAATCTGGAAAGAAAAGTTATAATAATTTTGATGAGTAATTAGATTACTCAGTAAGTAGCTAGCTTATCATTCAAGAGTTCATAACTAATCTTTCCAGATGTTTTTAGGTTTTATTCATCATTGACTCCTAGTTCTCTTACTAGGGTCATCTGTTCGTTAATGAGGTATCTCAGCTACCTCCAGCTAGGTTACTGACTCTCTCTCGATATGCTTATCTAGAATTTTCGGACTCGTATGTAAGACTTGCTCTCGGTCAAATACGGCCCGTCTACTAATTGCTCTGGCGGCCTGTTTATCTCATATACCAACGGTCAGGAGTACTCATGCTCCCTGACTTAGCACACAGCGCGTTGGCCAGGAACTCCGCGGGAATTAGTAGACTATCATACTCAGTAAATAAGCCATAGCTCAACCACCAATAAGCATATCTAGAGTCATAACCTTTCCATTAACATGCATAACATACTCACAGTTACTGCATGCTTTCATACATGTATCATGATCAACACGTAGAACATTCTGACAATCGTTTATATCACGCTTACATCACAGGCAAGCAGTCACAATATACAATAAACACGAACTATCATCAAAGCTCATCATAACTTATTAAGCTCTTAATCAGGTAAACAACATACTCACATGTTGCAAAACAAGTTAAGAACTAGTTCAAAGGTCGATACGCTACTTACCTGGTTTCGAATCCCTTTCTCTCTTGATTGTACATTTAATAGGGTATTTCAACACAATTCCTTCCAATTAGACCTATATTTCACCATTTTCAAGGTAAGTATAGGTCAATCTAGGTAGAACAGGTCAAAACAAATCGAACGGGACAAACCGGGAACCGAACTGATGCTTCACGCGCCCTCACGCGCCTCGGTGTGTCTGTCCCACGTGCCAGGAGCACGCCAGGAGTACGCCCAGTCGCGGCCCTCACGCGCCTGCGTGTAGTGCACGCGCTTCTTCTTCTTCCTTGCGTTTTTTCTGAAATTTTTCCATCTTTTCTGTTAATACCTACTATATCCCGAAGCCATATCCTCCTTCTACGGTTCGAATTTCATCCTGATTCCTTCTACAAATTTATAGATCTCCTTATTACGTTTCTAACAAGCCCTATTTCATAACTTATTATACAATACGAACCAAGATATCGAGATTTAAAGGTTCGGTGAAATGGGTTTTTCGTTACCTTTGCGACAACCGCTTAAATCAGCTTAGTTCAGAGCTTCAATGGCTGAAAAGCCTTCACAATCGTCTCCCCATCCTCATGTTTGCACGTTGTCACAACAAACGCCAAAAAACTTTAAGATTTTGTCGGAAAACACGGATTATAACACTCCCTGTTTTCTGTTTCCCTCTTCCTCTGTTTCTTCGATATTATTTGGTGCTTCCTCGTCGGCCTTGCCAACGCCAACCACCTCCCACACCTCCATCTTCCTCTCTTTTCTTTCTTTTCCCTTCAACCACCTGTCCATTCTTCCTTTCTCCATGGCAGCAGCTTCAAGCTGCTGCTGTCTTCTTTTCTTTTTTATTTATTATTATTATTATTATTTATTTATTTTTATTTTTATTTAATTAATTAATTAATTAATTTATTTATTTATTATTTTCGGGTTATTACAACCTGACATTATGTTTAGTGTATGTCTATGTGCTAGGTTTCAATCTTATCCTAAGGAATCTCATTTACATGTCGTTAAAAGAATATTCGGATATTATGATGCAGATTTTGCGGAAAGTTTACTTGATCATAAAAGTATTAGTGGAACTCGTCAATTTCTTAGTAGTTCATTAGTTTCTTGGTTTAATAAAAAGCAAAACTTGGTTGCCTTATCTACTACCGAAACGGAATATACTGCGGTTGCTAGTTGTTGTGCTCAAATTCTTTGGATGAAACAAATTCTTTGTGATTTTGGATTAAAATTTGATAGTGTGCCTATATTTTGTGATAATACATAGTGCTATTAATTTAACCAAAAATCATGTACATGATTCTAGAACTAAACATATTGATATTAGATATCATTTTATTAGAGAGCATGTGCAAAATGGACATATTATGCAAAATGGACATATTAGATATCATTTTATTAGAGAGCATGGACAAAACTCTAATAATCAATTAGACGATATTTTTACCAAACCGTTAAATGAAGAATTTTTTTGCAAAGATAGACTTGAGCTTGGTATTATTCATATTTTGAATTTTATAATCTTGTTTAGAGGCATGTTCCTAGGGGAGCATGTCATTCTTTTATTACTTTTTTATTCTTCTTTTTTTATGATTAAAGAGGGGGAGAAAATTAGGAAAATATTCTCTAAGTTTGTTGTTTCATAATTAATAAATCACTTTGTTGTTGTGATGTTTCATAATTCATTGAGGCTATATCATAGGGGAGAATATGGATTTGAGTGAATTTCAAATTCATGATGAAACATTAGAATGTCTATTATGCATGATATTATTATTTGAATATGTGCATTATTTTAAGTTGTATAGATTTATGGATTTCATACTATTTTTCTCGAAATGGTTCGTCATTATTAATAAGGTGGAGATGGTTGGCTTTGGCCCCTGATCTCAAATTAATTAATTTTAATTAATTAATTAATTGATGCTTTGATGATAACAAACATACTTTCAATTATTAACAATTCTCAGTATTTTGTTTACCGTGTAAAGTTGGGAATAACGATTTCAACGTTTTTTTTTTGTTCACTCAAATTAGAGCTAAAACGAAGAAGTTTCAGTAAAAAAAAAGATACCCGACGTGATGATGTGGTGGTAAAATTGACCGGCGACAAAATTGACATCTTGAAAGCCTCCATTGTTGCTCTTTCGCTTCCAATTTTATTTCTTATTTATTTTATTCTTGAGAGAGATGTTTATTGTATCATGAGAAAATAATTGTGAGGTGAGCGATCAAATTGTAAATCTACTCTTTCAAAGAGTTGTGGTGTGTTTCTACAAAATTCAGATAATTGTACCGGTTTGATCCTGAGCCGTGGAAAGGATTGAGTTTGCTCTTAAACTCGTAAAAAGAGCCGTGTAGGGATTGAGTTTTGATCTGAGGAAAGATAGGTTTATTCAAATTCCAAGAGGCGCTTGGGGAGTGGAGTAGGTCGAGTTTGACTGAACCTCTATAAAACTACGGTGTTATATTTTCTAACCCTTTCCTATTTAAATTCTAAATTGCTATTAAGTTTTATTGCATGTTCTAAGTTTTTTTATTTTATTTTTTTTTATAATTGTTCATCTAGTTTATTGTATTAATTATCATATTCTATTTATTTAAAAAAACATCGATAATTAGAAAAATTTAATCGCGTTTAAATTATTATACTGTTGAAACCCTATCCACCCCCTCTAGGTTTGCCATATCAATCCAACAGATTTGGCCTCGGTTATATGGTTTGTTGCCACTATGTCGAGGACCCATTGCTAGTGCTCGCGTTGCTCACCCCTTTCGCCGATCTGAGCGAACACTTACTCCTTCTTCAGCTGAATTAGCTCCCCAAACGGTGCCTTTGCCATGCCCAGCTGGAGCTCTTCCTTAAGATCTACCGAATCCTCACCGATAACGCTCACTGGAACGACGCCGCTTTCGATTGCTTCTGTGGATTTGGAATCGAAATTGGGGAAGACAGATAACATGTGATGTCCCACATTGGTTGGGGAGGAGAATAAATCACCATTTATAAGGGTGTGGAAATCTTTCCCTACCAGACGCGTTTTAAAGCCTTGAGGGGAAGCCCGAAAGGGGAAGCCCGAAAGGGAAAGCCCAAGGAGGACAATATCTGCTAGCGGTGGGCCTAGGTCGTTACAGTTAGTATCAGAGCCAGACACTAGATGATGTGCCAGTCTTCTCGCTGTTCCCCGGAAGGGGGTAGACACGAGGCAGTGTGCCAGCAAGGATGCTGGGCCCTAAAAGGGGGTGGATTGTGATGTCCCACATTGGTTGAGGAGGAGAACAAACCACCATTTATAATGGTGTGGAAACCTTCCCCTAACAGATGTATTTTAAGGCCTTGAGGGGAAGCTCGAAAGGGAAAGCCCAGGGCCCCGAAGGGGGGGTGGATTGTGATGTCCCACATTGGTTGGGGAGGAGAACAAACCACCATTTATAAGGGTGTGGAAACCTTCCCCTAACAGATGTATTTTAAGGCCTTGAGGGGAAGCTCGAAAGGGAAAGCCCAGGGCCCCGAAGGGGGGGTGGATTGTGATGTCCCACATTGGTTGGGGAGGAGAACAAACCACCATTTATAAGGGTGTGGAAACCTTCCCCTAGCAGATGTGTTTTAAAGCCTTAAGGGGAAGCTCGAAAGGGAAAGCCCAAAGAGGAGGACAAGCCTTGAGGGGAAGCTCGAAAGGGAAAGCCCAAAGAGGAGGACAATATCTGCTAGTGGTGGGCCTGGGTCGTTACCGTTGGTATCAGAGCCCTAGGTTATAGATCTTGTAGATTAGCCTACGAAGTAGACTTGACATGTTCCAAGGTCCAATTAGCAATGATACTGTATTGTGATGTGATCTTGTCATCTTGTCAATATATGTCTCTATGTTACGGCATTTATGTTTTCTTTTCCCTGAATTATATAGTAGAATGTAAGGAATGTTGTCAATACATGTCTCTATGTTACGGCATTTATGTTTTCTTTTTCCTGAATTATATAGTAGAATATAAGGAATGTATAAACTTAGATAGAATCATTTTCTTGGTTTCTAGAACCATGCCGCACAGAGGTCGCAGAAGAGGTAGGAGAGGGAGAGGACGACCTCCCATTAGGAGAGGGGGAAGAAGAGGACCCTATGCGTTTGAACCACCTCCTAAATACGTACCTCCCCCACAAGTTGAGCCACCTCCTGAATACGTACCTCCCCCACAAGCTGAACCACCTCCTGAATACGTACCTCCCCACAAGTTGTACCCCTTCCTGAATACGTACCTCCCCACAAGCTGTACCCCCTCCTGAATACGCACCGCCCCCTCAAGCTGCACCATAGGTCGAGTTAGACCCCACCACAAGATTAATGTTGGAGTCACTCCAAATGACAATGCAATCAATGCTGGCCACATAACAGGCCACGTTAGTTATGCAACAAGTCGCAGCAATGGCCATGCAACTAACCAACGCGACGGCCACGCAACCGGTGGATGCGGTGGCCAAACAACTGGCTAGAAACCTGTAACCGGACAGGGGGCGAGTTGGTTAAAAGACTTTAGATGGTATAACCCCCATCCATTTGTCGGTTCAAAGGAAGATCCCACAGTAGCTCAGATGTGGATCGCAAACATGGAAATAACCTTTTAATCAATGAGATGCTCTGATGATAATAAGGTGGCGTGTGCAACGTATGTATTGCAAAAAGACATAGAAGTGTGGTGGGCGGATAATAAATAGAGTATTAACCCGGGAGAGGGGATCACAACGTGGGAAACCTTTAAGGAAGCCTTCAGGAAGTATTATTATCCAAAGGAAACCCGTATAAAGAAACAACAAGAATTTAACCACTTAACCCAAGGTCAACGCACGGTGGATCAGTATGATCAGGAATTCATGAGATTAAGAAGGTTTGCACCGTCGCTAGCAGACACTAAAGAGAAATAGACGGAGAAATTTGTGTTAGGGTTGAACTCGAAGACCCGCCGCATGTTGGAGGCCTTTAACCCTAAAACTTACAAAGAGGCCCTGAGGACGGCCAAGGCCTTGGAGGAACCTCCGAAGAAGAAAAACCGAGAGTCAACGGTTGTCACAGGAAATAAACGTCCTGCCAAGGTCAGACCCACAGAATTCCAACCGCCGCTCTAGAGATCTCGACATTAGAACAGACCACCTGCTCCACCCCCAATAGCCCGATACCTAGTACCGGAGAAACCCCTGTGCCGCGACTGTGGAAAACAACATGGTGGTAGGTGTTTAGCAGGCTCTGGTATGTGTTATGTTTGCGGTCGTGCAGGTCACCTGGCCAGAGCTTGCCCTGTAAAGGGCACGGAAAACCCAAGGGAACCCCTTGGAGGACCAGTCATTCGAGAACCCACCATACAAATCCGCCCACAGACCAGGGCATATGCAACGACCAGTAAAAGGTGGGAACGTCTGGCGCCGTGGTGACAAGTACGCTTTCTATACTAGGACATTTTGCATTGACACTGTTTGATTCGGGATCTACCTATTCGTTTGTTTCTTTACCGTTTGTTAAACAAGCAGGGTTCATAGTGGAAACCTTAATGCATGTGTTGTCAGTCGGTACCCCGGCAGGGGTAGACCTAGTCACGAAAAATAGA